AAGAGTACATACTGTGCACACTACACAGGGGAAAGTATGTATTGTGTTGTAGAGGATATGCTAGAGAAGGCAGTGAATTCAGATATTCAGATAGAGATGTATGTAAGAGTACATACTGTGCACACTACACAGGGGAAAGTATGTATTGTGTTGCAGAGGATATGCTAGAGAAGGCAGTGAATTCAGATATTCAGATAGAGATGTATGTAAGAGTACATACTGTGCACACTACGTAGGGGAAAGTATGTATTGTGTTGCAGAGGTTATGCTAGAGAAGGCAGTGAATTCAGATATTCAGATAGAGATATATGTAAAAGTGCATACTGAGCACACAACATAGGGGAAAAAGGAAAGATGGTTATAATGTTATAGTACAAGTTTTACTGTAGTAGATTTGACGGAGGAGAGGCATAGGAAGAGGAAATGTCCTCTTTATGTGCGTCTCCTCCTCCGTCAATGAAGGGTAGGCAACGCATCTGGAATTGCGGATGTTTATGTGTAGCGGTCGCTTTCCATTTCGGTGGATTCAGGCCGCTCGCTCGTTTGCCACCTTATATTATAAAAAATGTTTTGTATTCGAGGTAACAACACATTACGTTAGTTTTTGAATTCATTTGAATAAGTAATCAGTGGTAATGGTAATCACAGTAAACTTCCTAGTTTTTGGAATAACTTAAAACAGTACTCATGCCACACACCAATTATGAACTTAGTCAAATTATAATTCGACTAGTTTTGTTACAAAACAACGTCCAAATCCAACCGACGACACGATTTCATATATTTAGGCCATGGCTACGTGTCACCAAATAATTAAAAAAATACTTCAATGAAGTATTTTTCATGGGAGCCGACATCCGTTTGGGACGAAATTTAGGTCAGTCGATTAAGAAATAAAACTATAGTGCGACAAATTTATTTGACCCGATGACTGTTACATCACAAAATATTTTAAACATGTTTATGTATTGAAATGACTTACAAGACAATATAGGACTCTTAATGTTAAAAGGTGCCATAAAATCCTTGTAGGTATATATTCCCCAAGTGTCATGGGAACGATTAATATTTAAAAAAATTATTTATAAATTGTTTCTAATTGAAAGAAGTGGGTAGACAAAACGTGTTAAAGCCAAGGTACAAAAACTTAACATATACAGGATGTTTTTAATAAATAAAATTAATACTGTTAAGATTTTATGGCTAATTTTGTTCAATAAACCCGTAAATTTACACTGTTTTATCAATTGTACAATAAAATTATCTTTTTTTATTTTAAAGAGAAAGACGTAAATATGTTTATGTCTATTATTAAAAAAGTAAATACAATTTTAAAACACCATGTATAACATATTTTTCGCAAGAACCGACCTCCGCGCTATGTAAATGGTACGCAACAAGGTCAGTAGCGATAAAAGAGTTTCGCTGTATAAATAAGCCAGGGGCAACAAACTGCGGCCCGTAGAATTAAATAATTTCTATACCTCGTATAGAAACCGAACTATACGTCATCTCTTAAAAATGTTATTCTTTTGTCGGATAATTATTATTTCAGTAAAACAAATAAAAAAACACGTAAGCTTATTACATCACCTTTTACGTTACAAGTATGTCAGTAGGTCAAGATTTATTTATTTTTATTCTTGCGGCCCTTGATAAGAGAAACTCGAGTACCCCTGGTAGATATCAATACAGTGTTTTAATACGCAATAGTTTAGTAAATTGTGTGGGTGCACACCTTCGACTAATCTATCGCAAAACTATGCGATTTTAGATTTTTTCGCAGCCAATTCAACTGTTTAGACAAGCCAAAATCGAGTAGTGTACCTCATACGTACCCGTACCATATACTCTCATAGGAATCAAAGCAAGTAAACAGTTATGCGATAAATTTTTTAAACTTTCGTAAGACATAACTAATTTATTTAACGGCTCTTACTCGAATCTATTTTTCCGGTGGCGGCACCGACCAGTTTTAGACCCTTCGGGGGTGGCTTTGCAGACACGACGCGACCGCGAAACATCTTCAGTAACACTCACACTGAAGATGGATAGTCATCATATTCCTCTTTCCCCTACTCCCGTAGTGACGCAACAGCTTTTTGTCCTCGCATAACTCAATCATACGTCATCTCAGTCACTCCCTTCATCATGTCACCTTTCACGCAATCCATCCATCGCTTTCTAGGTCTACCTCTACCGCTGTACTCCTAACGTTAAAAAAAATAGACGTAAGCAATAAAATAATTAGTTGTGTGATAATTTAGTCAAATGTGTTCTTACTTGCTATATAACTCACCTCAGATTCATCAGGCAGACACAACCTTGGTTGAAACTTGTGTTCCAACTGTAAATATTCATTGAGGGTGGCGTACAGCTGTTCTGGTCTATCCTCCATAACTTCTGTTGACGAGCTGGCTACACTATCGTCAGCACCCGGGTGCCTCGCGCCCGCTCGCGACATCTCGCCCGGCCTGGCAGTATCGAGCAAAGGGTGAATCGGCACCTAAAAGAGTTAAAACAATTTAAACACTCCTTTTTTTATGTTATAAAGTGGCAAATAACCCATTTTAATTTGCCTAAAAGAAAAAGTCACCGCTGCTCATAGAGATCCGCAATTGCAGATGCGTTGTCTGCCCTTAATTGACGGAGGAGACGCACATAAAGAGGATATTTCCACTTCCTATGAGTCTCCACCGTCAAATCCACGTTCCCTTCCCATCCGTTTCGTATAGAAAAAGGGTGGGGAGAAAAAGAGACTAAAGTTGGGCCCCGGCACCACACTCATCAGACGAAACGCAGAATTGCTCCCACTTCACGCCTGTCTTCTGTGTGGTCGTGGTATTGCTGGAGCGAGCCGACCCATTCGTGCCAAGATGTTAAAGCGGGCTCTACTACTGAAAATGCGCTGCCTACCCTTAATTGACGGAGGAGACGCACATAAAGAGGATATTTCACCTATATATGCGTCTTGCATCATATCAGCGTTCCCTTCCCATCCTATTCTTATGAGAGAAAGATTATCAGATGAACCTAGTAACAGCACTTACCAAAGCTTGTTCAGGAGAAGAACTATATTGGGTAGATCCCCCCTTTGCACTCGCGCCGATTCCCCCACTGCCCGACCCGACGGTCCCAGCGACCGGGCGACGAGGCCTAGTACCTGACAAGAGAGCGTCTACTGTCAGCGCGGAACACTCCATGGTATACCACAGAGCGTTCGGAAGACTAAGGATCGCTATCAAAGGACAAAGGATTAACTGACCAGTGTTGGTCAGATCAAAGGAATGGACTTATTGTATTTTGTACACCTTGGATTGGATATACCTTGTATACCTTGGATTGAGTAGTTTTGGTTTAGAACTGGGAACTTAGGGAATTAGGATGGGATTCCTTATTGGGTTACCGGGTGCAATGTCTTGTTGAAAGACAATTGCCCAGCTACCTCGCGCCTGTATGTCAGGTTACTCGCAGTAATGGTTGAACACTACTGCCCGGCCCAGCTGTCGTAGACTACAAGCCACAATTGACTTTAGCCTATAGTAGACTACACTACAGCCTGTAGACTACACTTCAGCCTGAAGTAGACTACAACAGCTACACTACAATATAAATAATTATATATCGCCACGGTCTATCCCGATCCCCTTAGTATAAATTGGGTTATAAACCCTTGATACTATTTTTATGTCTCGCAATGAGATAATGGGATCTCTTCAGGGATACAGTAAAAAATAAATACCTGTAAAACATAGATTTAAGATTATTTTGCAAAAATTTAAACATTTATATGGCCATCATTTCTTAACTAGTTGTTCCCGTGCGGATTCATCCGCATGAAATTATAAAAACTTTATTTTATTGTTTACATTTGTCAAATTCAATAGCAAATGTCAAAATTAATAACCTTGCTTCCTGTTGGCAGTTTATAGTTTATAGTCTCTTTCCCACATAGATTTTTTCCAATTATTTACCCGTTAAGTTTAATAACGTGAAAATATAGCCTAAAGCGTGTCGTAAGGGTTTTTTATTAAAGAAAGAATTATTCAACAATATACTGTGATCGCTGACATCTTACGTCACAAAGTAGTGTGTTTACTTTATTATATTAGTATAGATGATACGATTTAACAAACACAATCTATTTTAGACATGAAACTTATTTTATCTGTAAACATGTTTACAACATGTTGCCTAGCAAATATCACACACGGAAGTGTTTTGCGATATACATGCTGATAAAAATATTTTTACATTAGATAAGCTGTTAACGTTATACCAGTATTGTGCAAGCCTGGCATGACTGTGCTGGCTTCAGTTAGTGTTACATGACAGTTATCAAAGCCAATTTAGAGAGCTACACTATTATTTATACTATACTAATATTATAAACAGGAAAGATTTGTATTTTTGTATGTATTGAATTAACTCAAAAACTACTGGGTCGATTTTAAAAATTCTTTCACCGTTAGAAAGGTAATTAATCTGTTAGTAACGTAAGGTATACTGTTTTATTATTTTTTAATTATATGCGTACAAAGTCGCGAGCAACAGCTAATCTAACTAAAGAGGAAAGATTTGTATTTTTGTAAGTATTGAAATAACTCCAAAACTAATTGGTTAATTTCAAAAGACCTTACATTATTAAAAGGCTACGTTATTAGTGAGTAACATAGGCTATATATCTATTGCACGCGGACGAAGTCACGAGCAACAGCTAGTCAGTAATAAATTCAACTTAAAATCGTCAACAGAGTGAATAACAAAAGGTCGTTAGGACGAAGGTACTTTGAACAATTTTTATCAAGTTTTTTTTTATCGTTTATTTGCAAGATTCTTGTCTGGCCTTGGCAGTCAAAACACGCGGGCGTCGGCTGACAACTCAGGGTTGTCACAAGTTAAATTCAAACAAAAGTATTTATGGTGTACTAGCTATCACCCGCGATTCCGAAAGCGTGGAATTAAATTAACCTAAGTGAGTAGCCTATGTGTTCTTGCAGACTATCCTCTACATCTATACCAAAATTTCATTGAAATTAAAGCTTTTTAGGCTACAAACTCTAGCAAACATCCACGCACTTTCGCATTTATAACATTAGTATGATTTGATTATAATTTATTTAGTTGCTATAAAGATTTATAGATATTGTCATATACTGAAATATGTATCTCTAGATAACAAATATATTTTATATTTGTTAATTTTTCATTGCAATTCATCAATATCATAAAGAGGAAATATTTGTATTTTTGGATTTTTGTATTAACACAAAAATTACAGGCCTGATTTTAAAAATCCTTTCAAATTTAAAAAGGTAATTTATCTGTGAGAAACATAGGGTTTTTAACGCGGACGAAGTGGCGATCAACAGCTAGTTAAAAATAATATAGTTAGTTTTACAAATTAACATACAGGAAGTTCAGTGGGGGCGTGTTTACTGAGGGTTACTTAGGGTTGTTATTTGCCAAACAGATACGTGCATTCATGTCTAGTTTATAGCCAATGGTAAATTAAATCACTGCAATTTTGTCTCGTGTGACAACCCTAAATTATTACGAGCTTGTTTTTATCAGTGCTAAAAACATCCGACTGGTCTTCGCTATCAATAACGAAATATACATTTTGCCCGACTATCGGTAGGGCAATATTAATTTATACTTCATATTATAAAGAGGGAAGATATGTATTATTGGATTTTAGTATGTATTGAAATAACTCAAAAACTACTGGGCGTTGCCTATGCGTTGCCGGCTATGAGGCTCGTTTCTTGAAGGACCCTAAGTAGTATTGGTTTGGAAATACCGCCGAGGACAGACTGTTCCACAACGCGACTGTGCGAGGCATAAAGTTCCGCAAAAACCGCACGGTTGTGGAATGCCAGACATCAACATGGTGAGGATGGTACCTGGCGGTCTGTCGTGTCGTCCGATGATAAAACTCGGTAGCAGGAATCGTTCCAAAGACCTCCTCGGAACCTTCCGTAGTTAATGCGGTAAAAAAATCTTTCACCATTAAAAGCTACGTTATCCCCGAGTAACAAAGGCTAGATTTTTAACGCGGGCATAGTCGTGAGCAACAGCTAGTGCAGATATAACTAGGGTTTACATATCTTCCTAACACCATAAACCACAATAAACAAACATAAACACAAGTGTAAGCTATAACACACAGATCTTATTTTACTTGATAAGGTTTCTCTGACGTCACTAATTGACGTAAACTTAGCTTAACTACGCACATGTAGTTTGTGTTTACCTTATGTTACCACTTGGTTTTGCCCGCGACTTCACACGCGCGGAATAACATAGGAAATCCAAAACTAACTATGGGCTATGACGCCCACTGTTAATGTGGCTGTTTAACTGCCAAAGATTTTTAAAATAAGTAATTTTTGAGTTAATACATACAAAAATACAAATAGTTTCACTTTACAATATTAGTATAAACACGGCCGGAAATAATACAAACCTTACTAAGATTATAATGCAAAAGTTTAGATGGATGTTTGCAGCCTAAACTGCTGAACCGATCTCGAATAAATTTGACAGACATAGAGCAGAGTCTGGAACACAGGCTATACTTTTGATCTTTTAATACCACGCGGATAAAGTCGCGGTCGAAAGCTAGTACACATAACTGAAAAACAATACCCTATTAATCAGGGAAATGCAAGTCATATTGTTTTTAAATTTAATTCTATTGTCATTTATCAAACAACACAAAAGATAGTGTGTCAATAACCTTATTATGTACTGTATTTACTTTGACGTTGATACTGGGAGCAATAAACTTAGATATAAAAACAGGCGTCACCGTTCTAGACTACATCTAGGGGTGCTCTCTTATTGTTGGCGAAGTCCATGGATATTATCTGGGATGTGAGTGTTTCCGAACGAAGACGTAAGTTGTTTTTAAACGATTAGAGATAATTGATTTGATTGACGTATGATAGACTTGAGTGAATGTAGGAATACGAAGAAGCGAAGAGTTTACCGTATATTTCGAAGTTAAAGACGAAAAAAATTAAGTAAAAAACAATCTTGTAAAAATAGTGTTAACCCTTAAATGCATATTGTTGCCAAAAGTCTACAAACAAAATTATAGTTTTTATTGAACCATGACTTTTTTTTATTATTTTTACCTTAATCTGTGACTCAAAGCCTATACTGAAATATTGATTTTATAATTAAATAAAAACCATGCATTTAAGGGTTAAGGGTGAGAAATAAAGTGATTAAAGAAGACTGTTTTTGCGCAATTGCAGCGTTGCCTACCCTTAATTGACGGAGGAGGAGATGCACATAAAGAGGACATTTCTCCTTCCTATGCGGCTCCTTCACCGTCAAGTCCCCGTTCCCTTCCCATCCTTTTCTTATAATAAAAATGGTGGGAAGGATAAGGGACTAAAATTAGGCCTCCGGTACCACACTCATCAGACTAAACGCGCAATTGCACCCACTTCACACCTGTCTTTTGTGTGGTCGTGGAATACCACCGGGCGAGCCGACCCACTAGTGCAAAGATATTAAAGCGGGCTCTACCACTAGTCACTTGTGTGTCTCCAAAGTTCAAACGATGGTAGCTTTTAAGGTGGGATACCGCCAGTTTCTCCGCCTGTACATCAGCCGTTCATTAAGCCGAGCTGCAACTCAATGAGTCAAGGCTGTGAGCTAATCTGTTGATCCGATTCACAGCTGATTGTCACACATCTAATATTTATGTAAGAGATGTTTAAGCTTACAGTAATATTGTGAAATGTAAAGTTTGTTACATATGTGTTAAAAATATACTAGCCAGAGATATCTTCCTACCTGCATTGGACAAAGGAGGGAACAAATTCCGTACCAATTCTAAGCCCTTAACATCTAACAATCAATTTTCAACCATATTACAAGTAAATAGAGCACTAAATGCAACACCAACGTACAAAGAAATTCATAAAGAGGTCCAACTATTTAGGGCGTGAAGGCGTGCTAGTGATCACGTACGCACGTGTGACAGTTCGATAAGGAACACCGTAGTAATCGCTTACGATTCAGTAATGGACCAATCCGGTAATAACATAATAACGGCCAGTGCCGAGGCTCCCGAGGAAAGAGCGTAGATACTGATAAACGAGGTTTTGGCTAAGCGCCATCTGTGATCGGCCACCTCAAATCTCG